TAGGAGCCAGTATGACCTCCGGTTGGAAGAAAGGGAAGGCTGCACACGCTGTTCGATCTGGAATGAGAATCTGCCCTATGGAGGCTTGCAGGCTGGGTGGCACAATCGACCATGCCCGTTGCAGGGAAATGCGCTCCTGCCTGTCACAGCCTGTGTTTTCATGCAAGAGCTAGCACAGAAAAACAGGGGAGACAGACCCAAAATAAGCTAGGATCAGCCAAGTTCTTCCAGTCCCGGGTGGACATTTTGCTCTGATCTGCCTGCAGGGACCGAGTCCCAGAAAACAACAGGGGCTAAGGGCCAGGGTAACCCCAACCCACATCAAGGTTAAAGTCACTGAAGTGAAATGAATAATGGAATGATCTTCCAATCATACATTTAGATTGTTCTCCCCTCTCATTCTGCACCTTTAACCATTATAATTTGATGACAGTTCCTGGAGTCCTTAGGACAAGACTTGAAATGTGGGCTCTCAAGCCTCAAAGTGGGTATCTCTGATCAAAGCTGCACAACACAGACTGAGCTGCAGAATCTTAAGAACTTGATTTGCCCTGCTGTTCTCGTCCTTTCATCCTGAGCCATTTCCAGCAGGCTGAGTATATTTACCAAGACAATTTCCCACAAGGCCCTGATGTTATGCCCCTGGGGCATTGTGGGAAATTAACAGGGCAACTGTCAACCACCCAGGGCTGCTTTTCCCCTACCAACAGCCACTGCTGAGAGATAAGCTTGTGGTCCCCAGCAACTGATTGGAGAAATCCAGGAGGAATGGACTTTGTCAAGGCAGGTAAAAAATGGACTCAACCCTTCCATATTTCTGGGCCAATGGTACCAAGGAGATGAAGAAGTGGGATTTTTTTTTAAAGTAGTTTTTATTAAAAGATTTTTACATATCTAATAAGAAATACATTCACAGAAAAAATACAGTAAATGTGAAAAAGTAAAAAAAGAAAGGAAAGGAAGAGACAAAGAAAAAAGGAGATAGAAGACAGAAAAAGAAAATAAAAAAACAGAAAACATGAAAAGAAATATAAAGAAATGGCTTCTGATCTTCCTCTCGGCAGTTATACATACAATTCTAATCATAATTCCCTTCCTTCTATAACTTATTATTTCTAATCATCAAAACCATAAGTCCCAAAATCATTTTCTTTTTTATGCAAAAAGTCCATAAGGGGTTTCCAGTCCTTGATGAATGTCAGCAAGGACCTTCCTCCAATCAAAGAAGTCAGTCTGTCCATCTCAGCAAGTTCTGTCCATTTCACCAACCGTTCCTCCGTGGGGGCTCGTGCCCAATCTGTCCATCTTTGCGCATTTTCCATTTGGGATTTTAATTGCTTTTTCCTCTCTTGTTATTTGCTCTCCTCTCCCATTTTAGATCAGGGAGATAAATGTTACATTCCTGGATGTTGGCCCAGAGTAATTCCCTTTTCACAGTTGCTCTATTCATTCTTAGGATTATTTGGGATTAATAACAATGTTAGTGATATTCAGAAGATGATTTCAGCTGCAATGAAATGAGCTGGACTTACTGTCCAGCTCGTGACATGTCAAGTGATTTGCTGACCACATGCTGACCATGACCTTCAATGGGTGGAGGTGAACATGGATCTTTTCTACACTGTTTTGCATTAGTGTCACCCAATGCCTTGTTCAGAGAAGGGATGAACCCCACTATAAAGGGCAGAGATGGGCAAAAGGCAAAGGTTTTGGGATGCAGAAGGACATGGAACAATCTGACCCCCTGGGAAATACACTGTGTTGTCACACACACCCAAACGGTGGTGCACGTGGAGGAGAATTCCACAACGTGGCATTTCTTTTCCTGGTGGGTGCAGAAAACTCAAACCTCAACAGTTTTCTCAGGTCAAGGTCTGAGAAATTTCAGCTCAGTCTAGTTATTCATCCGCTTCATGCATTTTTCAAATTCCTGATTACGGTAAATGGAGCTGCTAACATAGACGTAACTGTCCGTTCAAATTCATGCACGCTATTTTTTTCTCTAACATTCAGATAATCAAGGAAGGTGACAGTGAACTGGCCTCTGAAAGCTCAGCTCTGATTGTAACTGGAGAAGGAACACGGAGCAAAAAACTCAAAGTCCCACCCCTTATCCAAAAAGAGAAAGACTTAATTTCACCTTGTCCGTTTTATTATCCTTAGATCAAACAGTTATGTAACAAGAACAGCCACACATATAATTCCAAGAGATTACAAAGATAGAGAGAGGCATAATTTTATAGAGTTTGGGGATGGCATAATCCTGTTTTCTCTGTTCTTCCACTAATTTGCAATAAGAAGGGCAGGTCCTGGTCACCCTCTTGACTTTTTTGACCCTTCTCCCCTGAAAATCCTGTTTTTGGTCTTGAAAATGCTTTGGGAGAAATCAGCTTTGAAATGCTCGGTGTATGCATATATGATACATACATTATTTTATATAAAAAATGAAAAGTAACCTCCCCGGTCCCAACGTGATGTGGCCAAATGAAGTTTCTGAGTTTCCAAGATATCTGTATTACAAAAATGGTTAAAACCCCTCAACTTGTCCCTTTCAAGATAGGGTGGTTTGCTGCTTTGGTTCACATATTGCTCTAAGCCTCTTGTATGAGCCAGGCTAAGTTGTAAACCCTGGTTAATGGCTATTGACCCCAGCAAACTGTGATTGAAACTATGGGAAAATCCCAGTCAAGGCTCAGTGGGCGCGCTCTTTAACAGCCTTAGCAGACTCGCTGCTCTCCAGCTGGACCGGAGGACAGCTCCCATCCTCCCCAGCCAGCCAGCCAGCTCGGCGAGGGACGAGGAGAGCGGCCGCCGGCGCCTTGCGAGGGCATCGGGTTGGAGGAAGGGGGGAGAGGCGTGTCACGCGCCGGGCAGGGGAATTGGGCCGATTATCCGGGGCACACCGCAGAGCAAGCCCCAGACGGGCGTGCGCCCCTCCGGACCGCAGGAGACGCCGGGACCAGCCACGGGGACGGAGCGGAGCCCCAGGGGACCGTGCACGGGCCGCTGCCCGCCCGGACGGCTAACGGAAAAAAAAATC